AGATCTGTAATCAGAATACAACATTTTGACAAGTTCACTACATTTACAAATCACTGAAAATATTAGAGAACTACCGAACAGTGTTAAAATCTTCTTCATGTTGCTTTATTCCTCAGATTCTGTCTTTGTTTGGTATCACACTTACAGTAAATGTTACTGTTGTTGACATGTTTCGCTCTCTCACCTTAACGCATGGTTGCCTTGAAATCCTGCACACCATGAAAAGACACGTCTTCTTCACGCTCCCCACAACAATTCAGTGACTCACCTCACATTTATGAAGCCTACATTCACACAGATAGTACTACAGCCCCACGCTACATATGAAACTCTGCCTGTTTCTCTTAAGCTCTGCTGATCTGTATACTTCGTATGACTCGGAGCTTTATGAATCATTAAACATTTATAACACAACCGGCGTTCTTATGTTCAAAATGGAGGAGAGAAGCTGTGCTGCAAGGAGCCGCTGGATCCTGATCGAGCCTCTATGCTAGGGATGGGTTTTCTGCTATGGACCACACTGCCTGTTACCATGACAACAAACTGAAATTTCCCTTCACACACCTCACCAAGTGCTTTTCAACACTGAAACAATCCTCACTCCCTAAGTTACCACCCGCCTCTCTGCCTCCTCGTGAGTTTGAGGAATACATTTCAATTGATCTGCTGCAGACGAGCAGAGCGAGAACGATCACATGACTAATTCAGATGTCAGTGAGATCACCGCCTCGATTCTTTTCTCTTCTCAAGCGGTATCAATTTGAGATCGAGCTACTCTGACTGAATGGCGATGACTGAGCCGCACAATCTGCAACAGGATGAATTGAGCTGTTGTTCCCGAATGTATCGGAGCGACGATGTGCTCAGCTGTGACCCAGCTGTGCGACCACTTCGGTCCATCATGCATCACGGTCTGAGAGAGCAGTGACAGGGAAGCGCTCCGTCTGGCCCGCAGTGGAAGGATGAACGAGTCGGAAAAGGACACACTAAATATCCTGTTTGGTCTCGTTCACCACAAGCAGAGAAAACACTTTTTTTTTGTCTCCATACAGAAATAGACTCTCCTCCACTTTACCTTGGAGAGGGAGCAGCAAGGATACACTTATGGCGCATTTCCACCACACGGTTGGCCTCGGCCTCGCTCGGTACTGCTAGGCCGCGTTGGGCCTTGTTAGGGCCGGCTCACTTCATGCTGCGCTTCCATTACAGTTTAGGAACTGGGGTAGTTACTATAGTAACGCAGTGTAGGCGGAGCCGTGACGTCATCTTCAATGAGAACCCCAGAAAAACAACACAGCCGTTAGCCGTTAGCACTCAGAGCTCACAGCTCCTCATATATGTTCAGAAACTAGACAAAAGTTAAACAAGTACACACCACAGACTGCCTGTGTCATGGCGAGTACAGTCGCTGCTTTATTTATGTCTGTATAGGCCGTTGTTGTGAGTGTGGACGGTCGGAGCATATATTGAGTTAGCTTAGCCAATCTCCATCTAGAAAACACGCATTTTAAAAGGTTTTTCACCTGCCGTCTGTCTGCAGACTTGACAAAGCATTAATTCATGGTTTTTACTAACCGGTATCAGTATGTTGTTACTTCGGCATCATTTTGAAACGTGTATTACAATTAAATCACGGTCAAATATGTTCATCTTGTTGTAGTTGTAGCCTCCTTGCCAGCGATTCTCTCTCTAGTTTAGCATACTCAGCCCGACTTAGCCCTGTTTGTTGGCCCCAATAGAACCACGATTTTGTCGGGCCAGAAAAGAGGTGAAAAAGTACCCCCGGGCCGGAACTAGGCCTAGTGGAAGCGCAACCAAAAACGGGCCCGGCACGACACGGCACGCTTAAACCGCGCTCCGCGCCATGGTGGAAATGCCCCATTACACACCGTCGGGGGCCCCGACACTGAAATGCCAGACCAGATCTGGGCCTGTTTTGGACACTTCGACCCATGACCCTCTGTCCATCCATTCTCACACCTTGAAGTGTCAGAGATTGATGTTGATCAGTCAAAAGCTCTATTTTGGGTGCCGTGCAGCTCAGACCATCACAGATTTGACATTTTGACGGCTGGTACTTTCTGTCCTTTTGAAAATATTGAACCTCAAAAAATTCAGAGCTTAAACTGTCAAAAGCCTATACATTCAAGCAGCTTTGATGTTGATGTGACGCTAATTGTTGAACAAAAAAAAAACCTCTGACAGCTTCCGCTTCTTCACTGTTTGTGGGTAAGCTGGGAGAAATGAAGCACATTGGATCGAATTCACACTCAGTACAGTCTTATCAGATTAATAACACCTTATCCTGACAACCCAAACACTGATTTCTTCTCACTTTGTGTGCAGATAGATTTGAAAACTAACAAGCTGATTGAGCCTCCCGACTTCAAAGCAGCTGTTGGGCTGTGAGATAAATCCAGTGGAAATCACTGATGTTTTGATGTAACTTGCTTGACTTGAATTCTGATGCTGTTTTTTCTAGTCTCTTTATCCAGTTCTTTTAGTGCCTGTTATAATGATGTATGCATTTAGTAAGTTTACCTGTCAATCCATCATACATCCATCTTAATTTTCCTTCAATTGTTATCGCTATCTCTACATCTTAATTGTTTTCCTTCAAGTCTCCATAAATCCTCTTGGACATACAGTATATCAATATTACAGCAAACCTGTGAAATGCTATAGCTATCCTTGACAACACATCTATCCAATGACGTTGACTGTCAAATTTAATAAATGGAGAGTGAAAGGAGTTGGCCAGGGGAGCAAGTCCAAGGTCAGCGCCACTGGATCTAAGTGCAGAAGCTGGTAAATGTTCCCCTGGGGAGGTCACTGGCTTTAGTCATGCTGCATTTGTCTGGCAGAAGGCCTCCTGACATTTTCTGGATGTAAAAAACTGTTTGTCTATAGCAGCAAGCACAATTGTGGCTGACGACTCCACCCTGCGACAGGAGGGCTGTTTGTAAAGGAGCGGGCAGGTAGCTTTTGGGATTTGGGCGATTGGGTTTCAGGGGCAATATAACAGCATGCAGTACAGCGGCGTTGGGTTTCCTTGCAGAGGGGAAACGGTGAACGCCAAATTCACTGGCTTGAATGTATGAGGCCAGCCTCTGACCATGTGGCGAGATATTGTTCCCTGTTGGGTATTGCCTTACACCTCTGAGTGATGGGGTATTTTCTTGGAAGACAGCAGGTGACGTTGGCAGCAGAAGCACGTGTGTAGCGGAGACGCTGCTGTCACAGCACTCTGACTTCATTTTTCTATCTGCCTGTACTTTAAGTTTATAATTCTACAAATACATGTTTTAACGCAAACAAATTCAGTTTAGAAACATAATTCAATTCTTCATACTGAAACTTTTTTCCCAATAGCAAACTTTGCATATACTTTTACCTTGTGCAATTTTGAGTCTGTTTGTACTAATACTCTTAAAGGTGGGGTAGGTCATTTTGGAGAAACCAGCTTGAGTGCGCTAGAATTTGAAAATACACAACCGGAAAAAATCTGCCACTTCCTTACAGAGCCCATCCTCCAACACACACGGACGTGCACATGACCAATGAGGGCACGAGATAAGTTTGTGCACAGATGGAAGGCTGACAGGCAGGTAGGCCATCCAGTTATTTTAGCCGGGCCGGCTCAGATGATTGGTCGTGCTTTTTACAGCGCCTCTGCTTCCACAGATGACATTTTTGTATGTATTTATTGTCAAAGCATTTAATATATTCATTGCTATCGGGATGTTAAGAGCATTCCATGGAATATAACAAAAAGTGTTTCTGAAATAAATTACATACCCCACCTTTAATTCTGAGCTAGCCAGCTAGTTATGCACTTATATTTGGAGCACAATGAAACACTTTTGCACACAATAACCCCCCTGGTCTAACACATTTTCTAATTTCTACACAAACATTTAGAATTAAATCGTACAATTTAAATCACAACACCAGTAACAATGCAAGACATCACATGAAATGGGAATTGTGCCTCTGATGCAGCTGTGCATGCTGGGAGATTTGTTTTTCACTCCTCACTCGGGGTTCAACAATATATACTCACACAAACCAAGGGAAGCTTAATTGAACTCAGTTCACAAATAATACTTTTGTCAAAGACACATATTTTAAGACTGTAGGAACATGTAACAAAATGTTGTGCAATTTTCTCAGTCTTGCTTATTTGTTCACATTCATAGTTTATGTGAATACAACCACCGGAGCAAAACAGCCAATGGCACATTCTGCATCACTGCTTCTTCAGGTTCGCTCACGATGACAAAGCATTCATCTGAATGAGTTGGTCTGGGTGTTTGGTGCTTGTTTTTGTTTGTGGTTGCTCTGTGAATGTGTGCACATGACTCTGTGCTTGTGTAGTATCGACCTTGCGTAACTCGTATTATTTTGTGAAGAGCGCTGTAAAGGGTGAGCTACTATATATAACGCTGGTCTAATTTTCTTTACCGTGACCTGATCCAAGAGTCATACGTCGACGTTTCAGGGTTGCTTTCATGCACAGTAAACTCATGACAAATTCCTTTTAGTTTTTTACATTTTTCTGGAGCAAACGTTTTGCAGCGAGGAGGCAGAGCACAACCCGGCTGCTGCGTGTCTATCAGCAGCTTGATGGATGAACTGGTGTCTATCCAGGAGTCAAGTGATTGCACCACAACGGACCCATTTAAAATATTTAAACGGTGTCGAACATGAACGGCTATGGCATCGAGTTTCAGAAGCAACCACCATAAAAGGCCACTGTGGATGAAAACATTATGTCACTGTAATACTCGGCCCCTGCTGACAGAGCTGATTCTGTCATAGGAACACAAGCAATGTACGTAAATAGTTCAACAACCAGCAAACATAACAGTTGACCCCATCCTGACAAATAAACATATAATACAGTGAGAAGTGAGATGCCATTTTAGTAATGACCTTCATGATGTTAAAACAGCTACATGCAGGCAATCAGCAGTTTAAAAAAGCACATGTAAAAACAATTCTGTTTCTGAATTTTTATTGAATATATTATATTTTTCTTTAATCAACATTGCACATATTCCATTTTCAATCACATCTCATATTGCTGTCTACAAAATGTTATGAATGTAGAAAATCCAGAAGGTTTACCAAAAAATAAAACAAAAAGGAGATTTAGGGTCAGAGGTGACGAGCTCCAAGGATACAAAGAGAGAAAGAGAGGGAGAGAGTGAAAGATAGGAGAGGAGCTCCCTCAGGAAAATAATATAAAACATACTTTGGGTTAGGATGCATTTTTCTCAAAACAAAGCATCATGCAGAATAATAGCAAGGCTGGCCAAAAACTCACATGGATATTTCTCAACACCTGAACTGAAGAAATATTTTTCACGGTCATTAATAGTTACCATCCGTTTTCCTTTTGCTTATTCCCCTCCTTTTGTTATGAGTGACGAGGCGCTCACAAATGTTGGATATTAACGATACACAAATGGGAAACAAACAAATGCAGCCACCGCAATCATCCCCCAAAAACTATGATATAGTCTGCCATTATCTAAAGACTACCGACTCTGCATGTAGACAGTGATCATAATGACTAATGTAGATGAACTGGATTATAACCATCATATCAATGTGACCTTGGCTGATCAAACTGCAACAGCTTGCATAGACACCTGATTATTACTGGTTTGAATCCCACCCATGTCCTGCCAAATTCACATCTAAATATATTCTTCTTTTCTTTGTTTTTTTTACTATATTTCATTGTTTCATGTAACACCGGAGCAAACTTTGAAAAACAACATCAAAATGAAAGATTGTTGATTCAGAGACATCTACTTTAAAAATAAACAAAAAGGCCATTTACACATTGATCGACAGTTAAACATGCTAATGATCCCTGGCCTTTACATTTGGAGGCTTGTTGTTCAATGCCCCACATGAAAAAGGATCTGCTGCAATGACCTATTGTCACCACAGTAATGTGTGTGCACAGGCTAAAGTACTGTGCTTTCCAAAAAGGGCATGTTTAATACTGTCAGCAGGCGGTTAAATATACTTTTCATTCAATGATTGCCGCAACCTTGAGAGCTCTAAGCGCTGCAATCAAAGAAGACACATGAAAAATACACCAAACAAATGAAGGACACATCTTCACTAAAGTGCAACATAATAGTGCGTGCTGCAAATACAGAAAACACAATAACACATGTTCTGTTTTTTGTGTGTTTTCAGATTTAAGTGGCAATTATGTTTTATTTCTTTTGTCCTTGTTTCCTTAAAAGCTTTATTGAAAAATTGGTGAGGATGTTTGTATTCATTTTCTTGTGTTTTTATGTTTGTTCTTATGTGGCAGGGCTTTGAGCACCCTGGGAGTAATGAGACATTACATTGCCATATCACAGAGCACAGACCATTTATCACAGAGGGGATTATATCAATTACAACGGTTCTGTTGCTTTCATTCATTGTATTAACTATTGTTTCATCTTCACAATTATTCAGTTACATTTTTTCATTTTGTCAGTAAATGTCAAAAAATAGTTAAAAACGATATATAATGTCCTTGTTATAATTTAAAAAGGGCCCATAACACAGCCCAATGAGATATCTTTTTAGTTTTATTCGATTAACAGCCTGAAACTCAAAGGAATTCAATTTATTATAATTTATTCTAAATTAAAATCATCCAATCCTCCCATTCCCTTTGAGACCCTTGAACCAGAGGACGCCTTACTGAGACGATTATCAAAATAGTTGGCAATGAATTTCATATCGATCAAAGTTTTCCATCTTCAGGCAAAAATATATCTTTTTGATCGCACTTGCTGTAAAGCTATGCATGTCCAATAGCTTGATATATGAGGCCTTTTGCAATTAGGATCCACATTTCACTTTGAGACACCCGAGAGGACGGCAGCAGTCAGGAGAAGCCGGCGGTTGCTTTGCTCAAGGGTCTGAGAGCACTTAACGTACCGGCTGCTGGGGGTCTGCAGCTATCAGGAGAGGTTTTCTCACTAGAAGATGTTAATATGTGTGCATTTTTGTTTTCATTGAAAAAGGTGAAAGTGCTAATTCCCTTGTAGCGATTAGCACTTCAGGAAGATAAGGCCCCTTTTGATCTGGCGCATCATAATGTTTCTGTCTCCTTACTGCTCTGGTACACCGGTGTTCAAAAAACAACAAAGTTACATTTGGCTAATGGTTAAGCTAATGAAGGCTATTATTATCTAATCAATATCCTAATCTCCGAAATAATTTGCTAACATCAAAAACGAGCACTGTCCCCTCTTAGTTGTCTAATTTAACAATTTAGTCTTATCAACTTATGACCAGGACACTTGTGAGCTCATCTTTGGTAAACAGTCATTTTTCATGATTCTCTCTGGAGAAACTAAGTTTGAATCAACTCGTCATCAATGAGTTGTCTAAGAATTGTTTTGTTGAGAACAGAAATGAAACATTAAGTAGTGACCTCTGATTATTTCCTAGATAGAGTTCAATTGGGGCGACCTGTTTATTAACCCAGTAAATTGAGCTGACATCACCAGTATGGTCTAAAGCCTTTCAGCACACAGGAATGAATTTTTTTTCCCCCTATCTAAGACAGATGTAACCAGGCACACACTGTAATCTCTGCTTTTGCACCAAAGAGCACTAATACTGTTCCACAGGAGGCAGATGGGGAAAAACAACCCCAAAATCCAGTCACATATCCAGCGAGAGTACCAAACAAACACAAACTGGGTCACTGTTCAACAGTTTGTATTTAGTGCTCCTCATAAGCTACCTTGTTTATAAGGAGATTAAGACTTAAAACGGGTTCCTGGTGTTATCTAACACTGTGGATGTTACAGTAAACACTCTGGTTTGCATCCACATTACTTTTCTTTATGAAAGTGTCTTTGGTACGTAATATTGAACTGAGCCGTACAGAAACGTCTACAGTGCTGCCTGTGTGCAGTGTCAAGATATTGGGCTTACTCAGGTTGTCTTTTTTAAAGATGTCCTTCAGCTATTGGACTCAAAAACATTTAAAAGTGAGATTTTCTATAACTTATTCAATACAAAAACTATAAACTCGAAATGTCTTAATAGTATTTTTTGTATCACGATATCTGACCTAATCACAATGGGCAAAAGCAGTTTTCTTTTATTTGGTAGATGAAACATTTCTTTGGGCAGCTTGGGGTTATTTTGGATTTTTTTGTGTACAGTTCTGTGCTTTAATCTCAAAATGGTGTTTAGTTCAGTAGGCTTGGTTCCACACGCCAGGAATGATGACAGATTATCATTAAAACATTTCTGTTTATAACACCTTCAACATTGTTAAAGGTTATTTCAGACTCTGCTCTGTGATATGAGCTGCTTAAATCTATTTTCCTATTAGATCATATTTTAACTTTCAATTGCCTCTTGCCTCAATTGAACAAATAAAACATAACATCCCTAGGCAATGTCCCAGCACCTCATGTATACGTGGAAATGAAAAAAGTGGACACATATGAAGATTGAGCCGCCTTCAGGCTCGATTGGGCTGTTTTGTGTCAAATCTTTCAACACTGACATCGGAATAAAACAGAGTACATCACTAAATCCCACTTGGCTGTTGTTTGCATGGCTTCAGATCTGCGGTCAATTGGTTGTAGTGTTTGAGAAGAAATCCTTTGTTATTGATTTGGAGAGGCATTCATCTTAAAGTTAATCTTGCCCAGTCGCCTGTGTGGAAAGCACAGAGGATTCCAGTCTCAGGGTAATTTAGGCCCAAGAAATATGTGAGCCTCAACAGAAAAGCTGTTTTTCTTACAACGTCGAGATAGCCCTCCTGAAAGGGAAATCAATCCCCGCCAATAATTATTTTGAATGAGGTCAGTTTTAGTGATTTTTACACCTCAAAACTAGATTATAAATGTAGCCTTGTGAGTTTTCCAGCTCATAAATAAAATGTTTTTAACCTCGCTGACTGTGCTGCATCATAACAGCATCACACAAGTTATTACTGCAGGTCAAAGAGAAAATGAATTGGTTCTTTATTCTTATGTTCCATATGTGTCCACTATTCCTTTCCCACTCGTGATACTGTATGACCTGAATGACCTCTCGAAAAATATCCAGTATGATAATGACCTTTTTATTCAGTGCTCGAGTCTCATTCTGCTCTCATACAAGGATAAATTATTTTTCTTCCAGTAATATTCAATCTGCTTGAACATCTGAGCTCTCTGGGTCACTACTGAAATCCCGATGAAAGCAGATTTAAGTGAACTTGTACTTGACATAATTGCAGCCTCTAACCAAATAAATGAGTATAATTTATAGACTGAGGAAATGGGTTAGAGGCTGTCCAGTTAAACAGATTTCCTTCAGTCTCCTTTGGTGCTTGTTTGCTCTGCTTGATTGGACATGTTGGCCCCGGGGTTCAATCACGCTGATCCTGATCTCCTCTCTATAGTAACCTGTGGGCATATAGAAGTCTTTGGCTTAGCGCCCGTTGTGCTGCTTGGTGATAATACCCAGCTGTGGCTAAACATGACGCTAGATAGATTAATTTAGTATTGTTGCAGTGCAGCTTTTGGCTACTATTGGCTGTTAGTATGGTATTTGTGCACGTGGGCTAGCTACATCTCACATCCTTATGTGAGCCCACATCATGACTGTTTCCAGGTTGGAACTCCAGGTCAGACCCCACTCAGGGACAGCTTGTGCTTGAGGCTCATATTCTCACAAGATTAGTATAATAAAATCACATCTGAAAATATATATCTCTTCAGACCGGTTTCATCTTCAATCCATTTACCTCTGAAGAGTTTTGGGAAATATGCTTGTTCTCGCTCTTGTGGACAGTCTGTACAATATCCATGTAGCCGAGATGTCTTAGTTTAGGTTAGCATAAAGACTGGAAAAGAGAGGAAACAGCTAACCTTGCTCAAGTTGTGTTTTCTTTTTTCTTTAGGTGTTTGTGCCAGAAAACAACACATTTTCCAATTCCAATCCTGACAAAGAACTATGTTGTGAACATAAGATAATGATATGATTAGATATATACATACATGTGTTTATGCTCAGCAAACAGTTTTCTTGCCTAAAGCTTCAAATGTACCCCATTTAAGAGGAATCAATCATCTTGTGTAACTAAAGCACATACATGTATTTCTTTAACCCAAGTAGTCAAAGTAATGTCTGCTGGATTGTAACTACTGTATTCATCACTTCCTGATAGGATCAAGTTTCTTCTAAAGCCGTTGTTTACTTAAATGTCATTAAGGGAGCAGTCCTTTGAGTTCATTTCATCTCAAAGCTATGATTTGGACTAATCCGCCAATTTGTGTTGCTTTTCTTTTTTGGCTTTACTAACCTTGAATAATATTAGATTTTTAAAGATGTGCAACTACAGTACAACCTGCTATTATAATCCACTACCATGCAAGCTGATTTCACTCTTTCTACCTTTCTAGTTTCAGTGTAATGTTTGTTTTAAAAAAGCAATAACTTGTGCTGGAGTATTCTGGTCTTTTTGGTAAAACCTTTGATATGAAGAAAAGCCTTCACAATAAAAAAAACATCTTCATTGTGAACATTTCCCAAGTTAACTATTGACATCTATTTTTAAACTATTGTGGTTATTTTGTGGTCACATTTGTTGTTTTTTTACTACTAAGGAAACATCTTTAACATTCAGTAAACAGCTCTTCTGAGGGAAATAACCGAGACAAAAATAAAATACTGACTTCATTCAAATATATGATGTAACTACTACTTCCACAAGGACATATAAAACTTCTAATTGTTTCTTTCATGGGCAACAACGCAGGTCTAAGGGAGGTTACAAGATCCAACGCCACAAACGACATCAGCTACCTCATGTTTTGGAATTCCAAATGATTGAGTCGATGGATGTTTCAGTATGTAGGAAAAAAGAAAGAAAAGGACAATAACAAACTAAGAAGAATGTTGGAGCAGCATTCACAACAATATGAGGATTGTGATTGTATCAGCGAGGACAAAAAACCCAACACAGAGGATTATGGTTGATGGTCATAACAGTCAAAGAAAGTAAAAAGTCTCACATAACTCTATCTGCAACACATCTTAGGACACACAAGTATAAATGTCTGCTATTCAGTGTGCATCTATATCACGACATTTTCCAGAAGTCCACAACATACAATAAATTCAGGGTTTCACCTTTGGTTATGTAATTATCAAGGCTAGGTTTAAAAAAATATATAACACACGTCCATGTTACTTTTGCATACAGTTAAAGTGAAAACATATCAACAAAGCAGCTGGTCAGCTCTAAATTTGCATCTGAGAAAAAAACCTACGGGTAAGGTATTTCATCTTTACGGTGAGAGCCCGGCGAGTTTCACCCGCTGAATTTCTCTAATAGAAAGTGAGTGTGGCAGATATTCATGAGGGTGTTTATGTGCCTGACATCTTTGCTTTAGTGTAAGTGGATCTTAATGTAAGAGGATATTCTTCTGATGTATTTCAGTGTGTTGCATTGAGCCAGTCAATATATATCTCTCCCAATATCTCTCTGTACACTTTCTGAATGAGGATTATCATGTGTTATTATGACACGATGTGAATTAAGAGTTTGTTGCCAGCATTTGAGTGAGCAACTCAGGCCAGCCTTGTTTGGTTGACAATATGAAACAAGATAAAAAATAGATGAAGTCTTACTGCTGACTGCACATAAGCAGAGCAAACTCACTATTCAGTAACACCTACAAAGCCGACCCAACTAAAACATTATGTCGACGTTACAACCAAACATTATCTCTATCATATTAAAATATTCACATCTGTTCCTTACAAGACACTTTTTTCACATGTAAAGAAAACATCTTTGAACTATAAGTCTCTTAGTTTCATCACTCCATACATCTGTATATGTGTAGTAATTAAGGCAATCATTTTGGGCCACGACTTACTCCTTTCCATCTCCAGTCTTAACCCTCGGGGGTTTGTTTACTGACGTCACGCAGCGGTGCTTCCCCCCACGTGTTCGAGGGCCGAGTCCCGTCCAGTAGTTGTTGCTTTTCAGTGTCCGCTCGTGCTCGAGATGACCAGTCACAATGTTTTGCTTGTTCTCTGCAATTACCAGAGATGTGGGGGATACTCCCTCTCCCTGTAACTGGCAGCGCTGCAACACAGAGAAACAGGAAACGGATGCAAATCTGTCATCATTCTTGAGAAAATGGCACCCTGAAGATCGAGCAATTTTGCCCCAAAACACCAGCTGATACTGCGCACATTTTCCCTTCCAGCCCAGAGGCCGGGCAAGATGTATAACATTCAAGATAATCATCAGGGCCATAAAGCAGCAACTCCCTCTGAATAACACGGAGAGGGGGGATGTCTGAGCTTTGTTGTACACAGTAGAGTACTTACACAAAGCTTTTGCTACATAAATACTTCATTTAACATTCCGTTTTCCACACTGTTTCACCCTTAAGTAGCTACAATGTTCTTAAAATCATTGTATTTCGCTTTTTCTGACAGTATCATATCCATCTACTAGCTTGTTTACTGTATTGACCATATGTTGTGTTATGCTGTGTGAAATATGAAAGCCATATGCTCCTTTTTGCTCATGTCTATACCATTATGTAAAGTGTAAATATCCCAGACGTACAAGCAAGACAGGGCTACTAAATAATAACGTTAGTGTAGAAATGTGAGTTATTTTGTGTGTGTAATTTCATACACATATTAGCTGTCTCTGAAAACGTTGGGACCTTAACTAGAATTGGAATGAGGCTATGTAGGTGTAAACAAATGTTGTCTGTACAGCATGAGTTTCTAATGACGAGTGCACAGATGGGCAGCTCGGGTTACTGTTGATGTCAAACCACTTGACAAGTAATACATAAGGGGAGAAACACCGCCGCCCCCTCTTAATCTGTTAATGACAACAGTAAAACAATGTTTAAGCCTGTATAGTCTTCAGTTTCTTCCAAAGCATTACATTTTGTATGTTTAATATTGCGAAAATGAAAAGTCCCCTAACCTTCACAAAGTACTAATTTTAACACAACCCACAATGTTTCCCTACATCGAAACATACCTTTAACCATGGCATTGTCACATTATAAGATTTATTTTCAACAGTAATTGAAGGAATGGTTTTATGAAGTTGTGGAACGAACTAGATGATTGATTTGGTGTACGATCATAAAACGTCTTTTGTGATGTCCTGAAGGCAGAAATAGGCGTTAACTTGTACAATTTCAATATGCACAGCCATATCCTTGGAAATAAGAATGACATTTTTGGGATTATAGAACAAACCTGCATCAAAGATTTGCATAAAATGTACTTAATGTGGAGCGTAAAACTTCAAATTGTAAGTAATTTCATGACATGAGTTATAATCGGGTAAATACAAACTGGCAGCATGTTGGCTGTAAAAGCAGAGTTCCGAGCATGCAGGCTAAACCATCTGTGCCCAAAAAGTGAAGAGAAGGATTTCATTTGTCAATAATTAAAGCCTGGGGAACCATGGCAATGTACTGTATGTCAGACCCAGGTAAACTGCAGGTACTTGTCCAAAATAAAACAACAATTCAAACAAGAGTAATACTGGTCAAGTTTCAAACAAACCAACACACCATAATCTGCTGCAAAGTGGTATTGTCCTATGTTCCCCTCCTCAGAGGCACTAGCTGTGTTTGTAATGCTGATTTCAACTGCTTCTGTTAGTGTGGCTACCCCCTATAGGCGAAAGATGTCACTGAATAACTTTTCTGTGTCATTGCTTTTTGAGCTTATTAAGATGCAAGCGTCCTCTTTAAACAGAGCAGCTGTATAATTCTCCACCTCAATCATTTGAGGATTTCTACAAAGTCTCTCTGGAGTTAGAAACATTCTGTATGCAATCATAGCTGCAGCAGGCACAAGGCAATGACAACAAACATTCAGAGTGCTTTTATCTAATTCCCTATTAAGAGCTAAACCTGTGGTTGTTTACATTATAAAACCCTGTAGAATAGCCTGTACCTGTAAGGATAAGAGGCCAAATATAGAATCCAATGAATATACAGAGTGTTAGAGAGATTTAAATGACTGAAGAGGATATCCTTATTGTTATTCCGTTTCTGTAACCTCATGCTTGAATGGTGATTAGGTTAAGTTGTACTGTAAGGATATGAAGACAGTCGACAGTAGAGTACAGCGGTACTTCTCATGTGTTGACATAAAAGCCGCTCCTGTGTAAGTAGATTGAAGAGGGCAACCTACAGTACAGCTGGAGGGAAAGAGGGCCATACAGTACCAGAGAGATATAATACTACAACAAAATCCCCACTGATATTAAATGTAACTCTATACATGTATGCAACATCAGGAGGATACGTCCCCTCCTGACCCAGAAAGCGACGCAACTTCTGGTCCATGGCTGTCGTCATCTCACGCCTAGACTACTGCAACTCCCTCCTGGCTGGTCTACCTGCATGTGCCATCCAACCTCTGCAACTCATCCAGAATGCAGCGGCTCGTCTGGACTTCAACCTTCCAAAATGTTCCCACACCACGCCACTCCTCCGCTCCCTTCACTGGCTTCCAGTAACTGCTAGAATCCACTTCAAGACACTGGCACTTGCGTACCATGCTGTGAATGGATCTGGCCCTTCCTACATCCAGGACATGGTTAAACTGTACACCCCAGCACGTGCACTCCGCTCTGCATCGGCCAAACGGCTCGCTGCACCCGCACTGCGAGGGGGACCCAAGTTCCCATCAGCAAAAACACGTCTGCTATCCTGGCTCCAAAATGGTGGAATGAGCTCCCCATTGACATCAGGACAGCAGAAAGCCTACACATCTTCCGGCGCAGACTAAAACCTCATCTCTTTCGACTCCACTTCGAGCGATAGAATTACTATCAAAGCACTTATATACTAATAAAGGACTGGCTTATCTAAAGCCAGTTGAGTAGCACTTGAAATGTTTTGGCTCTATGAAACCTGATGTACTTATATGATTCTGTTTTCTTCAAGTTTGTATCTTCTTGGTCGAATGCACTTATTGTAAGTCGCTTTGGATAAAAGCGTCAGCTAAATGTAATGTAATGCATGCTGCTGCCACATGAGGACAGGTAACCCATGCTGTGGTCTCTGCTGAGGCCTAAAGTCGATTTAACTGGTGTATGAAGACATTAAAACACACCCTTATGTGATTTCATGTGCAGATATTACGGCAATACAAGCTTCATTTCTTTCTAATGATGGGCTGTAAAATTAGAGTGAGTCATTTGTTGTGTGAGGAACTGTGAGGAGATTTCTGAAGATGAATAATAAATAAAGAGCCTAACAGCCCCACTAGTTTTAGAAATGGCTGTCAGAATAGCATGCTGATTTTAATAATTTATAACCACAGATTTAAACCTAATTCTTCTGCGTATTAATACTCTTTTCAGTAATGCATAAAATATTCTCAAATGGCCCTTATCCGTAAGATTTACATCCATATCGATAAATCTCAATTTCAATCCAGATTTAGTCCAAAGGTGCTGGAGAAAGAGCGCTCTTTATGAAGCGAGACAACACATATAAAGAGGTGGAGAGATGTTTATTGTTTCTGACCCTCATGCAGAAGTTAGGAGTTTGCTACTTTCTTAGACTTGCAATGTAATGTTCATAAAATATAACCGTGTTCTTTCTCTAACTTTCAAGTGTTCCAGCTGTCATATGACCAAACCTGGAAAAGGGCTTTCTAGTTGGCGTATTAATATGGCTCTATTTGTCATGCTAACTTTACACAAAATACCTTAGTTGTAGAGAAATACTTTGTTACACTTCAAACACTTAATGAAACACTGCCTACAGTAAATCGGACCCAACAAATAAACACAGTAAGAAGCTGCCCAAAACTACTGTAGATATGGCTAACCACGAACAGATCTAAAGTATACATTTTTTTGTTATGCTCCCAAATGTTGTTGTGGGTCACACAAGTTCAAGCATCTAACAAATCTCAAATGGTGTTGTGTTCTTTAAGCAAGCTGAATGGTTCATCCATCATCCTGTCAAGAGAATTCAGAACACAACTTGACATCAACCCAAATAGCAAACCACAATAATTCATACAAGTGTGAAGTGAACCGCCACAGGAACGTCTGTGCACATTTGCTCAACATCTATGTGTCCTTTAATACTGAGTTGTTTCTTAGGTTTGACTTTTAAAAGCCATTTAATACAACTTGTCTACACTGAGTAAGACCTCACTCTGAATGCCCCACTCCTGGACATTACTACTGATGGATATCACCAGTGAAGCTCAAAATGCAGCAACACAGAGACAAAGTCTGTCATTTATTGTATACACAAAACAGGGAATCGAAATTATACCTGTGCCATGACTGACAACCTGTAAGTCATGTACCTTGCCCGGCAGCTGTGTACACACCTGGATGCTCTCACTTCTGTGGCCCAGCAGGAGGCAGGACTGTTTTCAGTTCAGCAAGCAGAACGCCATTCATCTCGCAACCCGTCACTTTGGGGCACTGCCTCCTCACGGCAGAGCCAGGAGCACCCATCGTGTTACACATGCTCAGATCAACACAACCAGCTGCCAGCCACAAGCTTTCACTATTCCCAATTTACAAAGCCCTGGAGCTGTTTTTCGTTGGATTGGATTTGAAAACCATTATAAAATGATTATGGTGTTTGTGGAAAGCGTCTTTTGTGTGTCTGGAAGAGACACAACCAGCAGGTACGATATTATGAAGGGGAGGATTTAACAGCCCCAAAGCTCTAAATGATATGAACATAACTGCAGGGAGTTGATAGAGTTAATAAACTCAAATGACTCAACAGTTATTTCACCTGATTGCTAAAACTCACTTTACTGTTTACAGAACACTTAACAGCTTGTTTATTGAATCATACTGTATCGGTCCATTAAGGTAGCTGTTTGACCAGTCAGAGCTTAGTAGGGTGGGCTCAACAAGTGGGACGCTACCTAGATAATATATTAGAAATAGCAGACAGACTTGAATTGACAAATTCCTTAAACGTTAACTGCTTTGAGCAACAACTGATGCAACTTCTTCCTTCAAATTATATTGGTGGGACTCATCTGTTATGGCAAAAACCAAATAGCACTCCTTAAAAAATGGCTAATATGAAAAATGTCAGAATAAAT